TTTATGATGTTTAAAATCCTATCACCGTGAAATTGACCAAAATGGACCATGAATTTGGTAGGGCCCTAATTATAAGTGATAGCAAACAGATCACAGCAGATTACCTAGCAATAAACAAAATAAACACAAACTAAGCTTAATATACTAAATGATGATGATGATGATGGGTGATCACTCATTACTGACTATGATCATCTTCCATGGGAGTTATGGGTTCTCAGGTGGCTAATAAGGCCAATCCTTGAACCACAAGTTCTATTACAATGAGGACAGCTGTTTTCAGGTTCAGCAGGAGGCTGCTGACCATTGCTGGGAGCCAGTCTCTCCTTCTTCCTGCACCTCTTGTCCTCTTCAGCTTGTTGGCGAACAAGTTCAAAATGCAGGGGACCATCATGTAGGACTTCACTCCATTTTAAGCGATCCTGGGCAATGTCTCCCAAGTGTCAATGTCAATATTACACTTTTTTAGGTTGTCCTTCAGCAAGGCCTTATAATGCTTCCATTGTCCACCCATGTTACGGTACCCTTCTTTCAGCTGAGAGAACAGGACCTGTTCTGGGAGGCGATGGTCTGGCATCTGGACAACGTGACCAGTCCAGCAGAATTGCTGACGGATTATCATTGCCTCGATACTGGTGGTTTTTGCCTCTTCCAGAACACTAATATTGGTGCGCCTGTCTTCCCATTTGATCTTCAGAATCTTGCGAAGGCAGCATTGATGCTGCCTCTCAAGGGCTTTCAAGTGGTGTCTATAGGTTGTCCAAGTTTCAGACCCATACCACAGTGTTGGGTGAATAACGGCTTGATAAACAAGAAGCTTAGTGTCTGTTCGAATGATGTGATCTTCAATAACCCTGTGCCGCAAACGAGAAAAACCTACACTGGCACAGCTCAGGTGATGTTGAATTTCTGTACCAATATCTGCCTTGGATGAAAGATGACTTCCAAGGTAGAGGAAGTGATCGACATTTTCCAGTGCCACTCCATTGACTTTGATAGATGGGGCATGTAAGACCTCATTTGGAGAGGGCTGATAGAGCACTTTAGTCATCTTGATATTAAGATATTAAGAGTGAGACCAAGACATGCGTAAGCATCGGCAAACTCATTCAAGATAGTTTGAAGATCTTTCTCAGAGTGGGCAAAGATTGCGTTGTCATCAGCATACTGAAGTTCCACAATAGATGTGGAAATCTTACTCTTGGCTTTCAGCCTGCTATGCCTGAAAATCTTTCCGTCCATTATGTAAATGATTTCAACACCAGCTGTAAACTTCCCAGCAATTAGGTAAAGAATGACGGCAATAAAAACCGCAAACATGGTTGGAGCGATGATAAGGCCCTGTTTGACTCCTGATTGTACTTTGAAAGGTTCACTCTGGGAGCCAATGCTGCTCAGAACAGTCGCTATCATGTTATTATGAAGCAATTTTAGGACATTGATGTATTTAGCAGGACATCCAATCCAAAGTACAGTCCAGAGTGCACAGCGATTCACTGAGTCAAAGGCTTTAATTAGATCAATAAAAGCCATGTACAGTGGTAGGTTTGCTCCCGACACTTTTCTTGCAGCTGCTGTGCTGTGAAGATCATATCCGCAGTCCCACAACATGGTCGGAAAACACTCTGTGATTCCAGTAAAATTTATTCTGAAAGGGGCAGAAGGCGGTTTGCAAGGATCTGCGCCAGAACTTTGCCTGCAATGGCTAGGAGGGAGATACCACGATAATTTCCACAATCCACTTTATCCCCTTTCTTGAAGAGGGTAACAATCAGGGCAACCCTCATTTCACTGGGTATCTCCTCCTTTATCCTTTATTAAAAAAATATACTAAATAGATTGGATATGAATAATAGATTCTCACCCTAAGAGATGATACAAGCAGGCTGCAGATTTTTAAGGGGCAAGCTACGCTTGCTTTACAGCTTGGAATCCCCAGGTGTTTCATTCACACACTAGAAATCCCTTTAGCCTGGGGCTAGCACCTCTCCCAGTTCAGTCTTTTTCCTCAGGTGTTTCCAGGAGTTTTCTTGTGTGGGGGATGAAGAACCCTAGATGATGTTACTCTCCTGCCTTAAATAGTTTTTGCATATGGTGGGAACCCTTTGTTCCCAAAGCTTGGTTCCCAGACCAATCTGTGGAAAAGTACTGACATTCCCAAGATGGAGTCCAGAGACATATGTTCTCATCGCATGTCCTTGTAGAGTCATAGCAGCCATTACTTAGATGCCGTCTGTAGTGTTCTCAGGAAGACTCCCCAGGTGGGGAATAAGCTTCTCCTAAGGCCTATTGTTTCTTCCTAATGACTCATTGCCCTGAATAGGCCCTTCCGCACCCACTATCTAGACTGAAAGCATCTTGTCTAGTGGGCGTTACCCAGATGTAACTACATTTGAAATATAGATACATAGTCAGTATTTATAACTTCAGATACAAAAATGATACGTGCATACACCTAGGATAATCATATTCAGCAAATCATAACCTTCCCAATGACACCTCACACAACCCGTCTTGCATAAAGTGCATCATAATTATGCCATAATCATATATTAATAAAATCACTGCTAAGACTATGGGGTGCAGTGTTACAGTGTCGATTTAATAAACGGAGAGCTCTCCCACCAGGCCAGGGGGTCGTTTGCTCCCTGCGTCACCTGGGCCTGTCCGTGTGCCTTTTGTTACCCATATGTGGCAGATGGATACCTGAGAGCCCCTTCTTTCCAGGGGGATGGTTGACTCAGGGGTGAGAGGGAGTTACAGAGTCTGATTCTCCTTCACCAGCAGAAGTTGGTCCCATAAGAGAGATTCCCTTGCCCACCTGCTCTCGCTGATAATCTGGGACCAGCATGGCTGCCACAACGCTGCCAACAATCTTTACATATCAGCGAGTTGAGTTGAAACAGTTCTCTGCATTGGTCTGTCCAAGCAGGCACTGCCCCCCCTGCCCACCTGCCAGAGACAATGTCCCCTCTGAGCTGTGAAAGTTTAATTCTCTCTACCCCAAGGGTGCTCAGATTTTCTCCCCTCCCTCATCTGCCTCAAAGCCCATTTAGCCCCCTGACAGCTGTTTAAATGCAGGGCTGAGTTCACAAGTGGTAGAACAAGGTGGGTTATACTAGAAGTCACCCCTAACCTGGGACTGTTTCCCTAGGGAAGAGCAGGGCCAATCTATGAAAAAACCCTCTTGATCTAGGAATCTGTCCGCCCCCTCCCCACAAACACATGCTGGATTTCATAGACTACAACGCAGTATATACATATATATTTTTTTACAATTTTTTTAATGCATTGTCCCCTGTGCAATTAACTGCTGGCTGAAATAAGAGAAAAGCTGCATCTTTCTAATCTATTGTGGTAACCTGCCAGAGGTTACAGAGAGAAGGTAGTGGCGGACTCAGGATACTGGGTTCTTTTTCTATATCCCATTCCTAGGGGCCTGTCTGTCCTTAACGGCATGTGAGCTGACCGTGAGCGCTCAGAAAAGGGTAAAGGGGGGAAGGAATGGGGGCGAGAGAGGGGTATTTTCAATAGAACACAACCTAGAACCATTTTAGTTCTTGCTTTTATGGATGCCCCCTGGGAGCATGCTGGAAAAACTTCCTATGGATGGACAAAGGCCACGCCACTCGTTGTGTCTCATGACTGTTGCCCAAAGCAGGGTCTTTGGCTTTCAATGGGGTTTGCTCTGCCTCCCTGGGTGCTAAGGAGGTCTGTCCATCTGCTAGCACCTTCTCCTCCCCCTTCCCCCCGGCGCAGGGTGAACATCATCCTGGCTTTCCAGCTGGAGAATGTAACGTGGGGCAGTGGCAGGGCCGCGGAGCTGTGAACAGAGCTCTGTGCTCTGCCGATCTGCTGCTGTAGCCCAGCTGGGCACCATGGCAGAAATCTCCATGCACAGGAGGGCTAAGGGAGGTCTGGGGCCTGTAGCATGAGAGAAAGGGGAAGGGGGAGGAGAGCTGGTGTGCGGGAGCAGGAGGGAGGTTCCCCTTGTTCAAGGATGACTCTAAAGACACCCCAAACTACACAGCACCCCGAGTGGGGGTCATGTAGGCATAGGTAGGTGAGGGCCATTAAACTGGTGTGGCTGGGCAGGGGGTGCCAGGGGTTAGAGAGAGGCAGGCTGCAGACTGAGGGTTCCTGGGTGGGGATGGGGGCTCTGAAATACAGAGTGCATGTATTTCCCCCTCCCTTGGTGTTGGCTCCCTGGGGCTACATGGCTATGGTCTGAACTCCCGCACCACCTCCCAGTAGATCCATGACTTCTCCTATTCAGATACCCCTGAGTGCTGCAACACTGCCCTGCTCGAGCTGCTCCTGGAGATAGGCTCCTGGCTTCTACCCTGGCTGATTGTGCTTTTCCCTCTACACCTGGGCATTGGGAAAGGGCTCAGGACTTGGGGAGCCCAAAGTGACACCCCAAAAGGGCTGGGTGCCAAGCCAATCAGAGTCAGGTCCCTTTAAAGGGCCTCAGGTTGGGCCTTGTGGAAGTTGAGGCCCCTGGATCACTTGGGAGAATTGGCAGAAGGGGTTTTGTGGGGGAGGGAGCTGGAGGTGAAAGGCGCAGAGACGCTCTGGGCTGGCCCATGAGGGCAGTGTGACGGGTCCCCCGGGGTGCAACCTGGAACTGGGGTACCACTAAGCCCTCTCTCTGTCCAGCCTGGGCTCCCTCTTACACTGTGCTGCTGTGCAAGCTACCAAGCCCTCCACACTTGCACTTCCACCAGCATTCACACAGGCAGGGACACACCCAGTTGCAGTTATATGCAGGCTTTGACCAGCCCTCTGCATGAACCAACGATAGAGAGACTGCAGCCCAAAACACCCCCAGCTGCCCAGCCTGGGACCCCAGAGCTGTACCATCCTGCCCTGATCAAATCTGACCAGTATATGGGTTTAATACCCAGTCCACCTGTCCCTCAATATGAAGAGAACCATGCACAGATTTCTATTAACTGAGTTGAGATTTTTCCCCAAACACTTCAGTCAAAATTCACTGGTTTAGATAAAACATGTTTATTAACTACAAAAGATTTTAAGTGATTATAAGTGATAGCAAACAGATCAAAGCAGATTACCTAGCAAATAAACAAAACCGCAAACTAAGTTTAACACACTAGCTAGATTGAATATGCATTAGCAGTTTCTCACCCTAAGAGATGGTACAAGCAGGCTGCAGACTCTTAAGGGGCAAGCTGCACTTGCTTTACAGATTGGAATCCCCAGGTCTTCCATACACAGGCTAGAAATTTCTTTACCCTGGGTCCAGCACTTTCCCCAGTTCAGTCTTTGTTCCTTTGGTGTTTCCAGGAGTATTATTGTGTGGGGAGTGAAGAACCCCAGATGATGATGTCACTCCCTGCCTAATATAGCTTTAGCATACGGTGGGAACCCTTTGTCCCAAACTTCAGTTTGCGGAAAAACACTGAAATCCCAAGATGGAGTCTAGAGACATGTGACCTTGTCACAGGCCCTTGCATACCTTGCTGAGTCATAGCAGCCATTACTTACAGGCTGTCTGGAACATTCACAGGAAGGTTAAGTTCTTACAGGGTCCATTGTCTTTGCTGATGGGTCACCGGCACTGTCTAGCTTCTTCATTGTTGTACCAGAAAGGCTAATTGTGGGTGTCACCCAGAGTAAGCAGGATTGAAATACAGATTCCTAGTCAATATTCATAACTTCAGATACAAAAATGATACATGCATACAACTAGGATAATCATATTCAGCAAATCATCACTTTTCCAATGACACCTCACATGACTTATCTTGTACAAAATGCATCATAATTATGCCATAATCATAACATAATATTTCTGTGATGAATAAGGGGTGCAGTGTCACAGGGTGTATTTAGAGTGATCCCCGCATTGTGTAGTGCCTGGGTCACAGGCTGCCCCCTTTCCGGTCCTCTTTCACATCGCTGCAAGGCAGCCCCAGCCTGATCACAGCTGACCCACGTCCATGGGCTGCTTGTTCCCCACCACCCTGCTGGGTTAATTCCACCCCAACAGGTCGGCCCTTGGGGAAGGCCAGGGAGTTGCCCTCACTGTCTCTGCAGCTAATTGCTTGGTGTCTCAGAGCACAGACAGGAACTGGCTCCACTCCAGTGTCACCCTGAGATGGGATCAAGGGTTACCCCTGACCTGACTCCTGCGCACACACATCTCTAGCTCAAGGGGGCTGGCTGGTGGGGGGTGGGTTGCAGCTCAAGCTAATAATGCAGTGGAGACACAGCTACAGCCTGGGAGTGGGGGAGCTCACGGTTCTGCGCAGCAGGAAGCTTGTTGCTGTGCCTGGGGCCGGAGGGGGCTTTTCCCAGTAGGAGCCAGTGGGAGTTAACCTGTCTGGCTCTCCGGGTCTGGCTGGCATCTCTCCCCCAGCTCAGCAGCAGTGCCATACGCAGAGCTGTCTGGGACCAGGCTCTGTCCCTCTTCCACCGTGTGGTAACCCCTGGCCTTGTACCTCCGGGAGCTGTAGATAGCCAGGGCAATGAGGATGGCCAGGCCAGTGGTGACAGCCACTGTGACACCGGCTGTCTCCTTGCCCGACAGGCCCCCTCCACCACCCAGCCCTGCAGTGCGTCGCGTCTCAGCGGGATCCCCAAGCCGCCACATCTGGGTCTGGGCATCTTTGACCCAGGAGCGCTCTCCATTGGCATTGGTCACCTGGACGGTGTCAATGCCCACCAGGGTCATGGCGGGTGGACGGGTGTAGGGAGGGAGCTGTGCTGGGGGCAGGGCTCCTCCGGTGAAGATCCCGGACTGGACGCAGTACTCCACTTGGCAGCCATCGCTGATCAGAGCCAGGTGCTGGCTGAATCCCGCCGGGCAGCGCTTCAGGTAGGGGTCATCCACGGTCCCCTGGTGGGCCCCCACCAGGGGGTTCCCTGCCTCACAGCTGAAGAGCCCCCCAAAGGGCACAGAGTACCTGTGCCCCATCTCGTAGTCTCTGCTGACACACAGCTGGAGCTGGTCAAAGAGCCTCAGCTGAAAGAAGCCGGAGGGGCAAGACTGGGCGTTGGTCAAGGGATTGGCACTCCGAGAGCTGAAGAGACCCCCGAAGAGGTACCCCGAGTTCTCAGGGACCTGGCTTCTTGCCATGCACCAGAAGGCGCTGAACTGGACCTTGGACAGCCAGAACACATCCTTGCACACTCTCTTGCAGAACAGCCCCAGCATACAGGAGCTGTAGCACTCCAGGTGGCTGTAGCCTTCCTCCCGCTCCTGGGTGCTCAGCCGCACTGGGGTGTACCCCACAGGGCAGGAGAATGCCCCGGTGAGCGGGTTCCTGTGTTCTAGCCCCTGGCAGAGGACTGGTGCATCTGGGCCCCCCAGCGGGACGCACTCCTGGTAGGCACCCCCCAAGGTAAAGTTGGTCTCAGCCGCTTTGCAGGAGCCATCGTCGGTGTTGGCGTGGAAGTTGAAGTTTGGCGAGGTGGTGTCGGTGCAGCCGGGGTAGGTGTTGAAGGTGTAGTAGCGGCGGGCGGCCAACTCCACCCTCCGGGAAAGCTTCTTCACTGTGGGGCTGGGTAGCTCCGGCAGGCTGCTGGGCGTGATGAAGAAATGCAAGGGCAAGCCAGAGCGGTCAATAGCCACCAGCTGGTTGGTGGTGCCCTCTTGCCAGGCCTTGAGGGTGATCCCTGGGTAGAAGGGCACGCCACCAATGCTCTCCACCCTGGAGTTGGTGCGGTTGGACAGGTACTGTTTGGTGAAGGAGTTCTCCATGCTCAGTGACCCACTGATGCTGAAGTTGATGATGCTGTGGAAGGAGGCCCCAGCCGAGGCGGTAATGGCACTCCGTGTGGACATGTTATCCTGGACGAAGGTGGATTTGATCTGATCCTCTTGCAACAGGCTGGCGCCAGCATCCAGTGAGGTAATGACATGGGTACCGTAGTTCAGCACCAGCACCTCTGCCAAGTAGTCTGCCATCCGGCTCTGGTTGTTCTCCAGGTGCCCAGCGATGGTCACCAGCTGCTGACGGAAGCCCTTGTCCAGGGCTGCCCCGGGGTCAAACTTGGCAGTGTAGATCAGATTTCTGACCTGAACCCGCGTGGTCATGGCTTGGTCCTTCACCTGGTGGGTCTTCATCTTGCGGAAGTCGCTGGAGAACTTGCCGTTGAGAGAGGAGAAGAGGGAGACCTCTGTGTTGACCGAGGCGGCGGTGGCGCTCTGGTAGTCCATCCAAGATTCTATGATCTCCGAGTTGATCTCCAGGTTGCTCTGCTTGCGGGGGATGGTGAAGACCTCATCTGGGATGATGTAGGACCCGTCCTCTGTGGTTTTGCACAGCGAGTAGCCCAGACTGATCACTCTCCCCATATCCAGGTTCCTGAGGTTGTCCCAGCCCCCGCCCGGCAGTACCTCCAGCCCAGGGAGCTTTAGGGCTTTCTTACACTCCTGAAACCCTGCAGCAGCTGGCGGCCCTGGAGGCTTCTCTGCTCCTTGCACCCAGGCCACCAGGCTCCAAGAGAGGAGAGCCCCCAGCAACTTGTTCATGGCTGGGGCAGCGCTTGGAAGATGTAGCTGTCCGAGCGAAGAGGAGGGAGCTGTCAATACGTGCTGGTGGCTTAGCAGCTCTGAGCCCAGCTGTCTGAGAGTTCCTCCTTTCTGTGCTCCAGTTAGTGTTTAGAAAGAGAGAAGTGAGAGTGGATCCCTGTCAGAATTAGACGGCCGGAGGATATAGGTGGAGCTGACAGAGGGAGAGCCAGCAGAGCCCTCTGCCTTGCTCATCATGGTGGCAGGAGATTGCTATTCCCTGATTGTTACAATGCCCAAAGTGTGCTAGGGGCTCTACAGCAATGGATTATTGCCCCATCTTCTCCCACCTGTCTTCCAGTCTGACACCAGTGTTGCCCAGCTGCTGAGTGGGAGCAGCTGCTGAGGCCTTCCCAGAGCAGGAGAAATCGGATTCCACCCAGACGCTGCAGCAGTGAGCATCATTTGCTATATTTACATACAGGCCTGGAAGTGGGGTGGTCATAAACACCATGTAGAGCAACTCCTTCTCCCAGGAACCTCAGCCTAGCATAAATGCTAGGGTCCCAGGGAGAAACTCCACCTCAGCAATTGATTCCAATGGGAGCCCAAGTCAGTCAGCAAACTCTCCTGTTGCTTGCACAGGTCTCTGTTCTAAGAACGTAGCATCGCCCAAAAGCTACCACGCCATTCATGTCTTCTGACACTAAAAACTTGCTCACACAGTCAGAACGGGGAAGACTATTACAGCGTTCTCCGGTGATGCCTGCTGTAACAGGGTAATGGGACAAGGTCCCTGCCCTACCCCACCTCCACAGTCCACTTGTGGGTGGGACTTGCTGACAAGGGGTCTGGAGGAGGGACTCTGGTGTTACCCAGTTTCTGCACCTGCACTTGCCTATACTGTGTTGAGTTTAACTAAGTGCAAGAGGCAGATGTGACGGGGGAGAGAGGTGGTTTGGCAAAAGTGAACTGTGTGTGTGGGGGTGGGGCGGGGTGCTTTGCCCCAGGGGAGGCATAGACAAAGTTACAGGGGTGGGAGGAGGGAAGGAACGAGGGATCAGGTATCATTGGGACAGGGAATGATGTAGGAGACAGTTCACTTCTTTGCAGAGCCCTTGTGGGGAAGGACTGTGAGTGCACTTTCACTCTCGCTGCTGTGCCATCACCCCAGGCCCAGGCTTGCTTTCTGGGGCTCTGGAGTGCAATGCAGGGGCTGTGAGTGCTGATTAGGGGCCAGTCCCTTTGCAGTGCCAGCATCTTTGCCAGTGGACCTCTATACTGACCTACAGTGGCTTCCTCTATTCCAGTCCCAGCTTCTCAGGTGCCCCTCAATCCTGATCTTCAGCCCCCTGCTACCCCAGCCCTGGGCTTCCCACACCCAGCTCTGCCATTGCCCCTTAATTCCGCCCTGCTATTCCGCTGTTTATACCCTCATCCATCTCCACTGCTGCCCCTTAGTATTGCTACACAGCACCCCTGGGCCAGGAATCAGGCGTAGCCCCACGGTTGGCTTCACTCCTGCCCCGAGCTGTGTTGCTGCTGACCTGTGGTCAGCAAGTCGATGCAGCCATGGAACAAAAGGTTTTTCTCTTCCAGTGAGTCACGCTGCTGAGCTGCAATTTCACTTCAAGGGAGAGCTATGGAGCACGTGAGGGAGGGGAAGTTGCGTTCTCTCCTTGACAGATGGCTGTGATCCCTGCCCAGTAAGAGCCTAAGTCCTACTTCTGATTGCCCAACTATATAGCCAGCCAGGGCCTGGGTTTTCCCCAACCCCACAAGAGATGCTGAGCAAATGCTATGGCCTCCAACTGGAGCAGGGGGTGCTTGGCCCCATCAACCAATCAGGCCCTGCTAATTGTATTGCAGTAGCGCTCAGAGGCTGTGGTTGGGATGGGGACTCTGTAGTGTAACGAACTTGCTGACTCGTTACCAGGCGCTGAGTTAGCACCCAGTCAGATGCAGGCCCCGTGACCAGAGGATTGAGCAGTGACGGAGCTAATGTGGGCAGGAGGTGGCTGTTTGGTGCAGGCGTGGCACCTTTTAAAGCATATTATGCAATGGATGTACATGGGGTACAACACGAATTTTCACGCCGGGCTGGAGACCGCGCCCACCCCGCACTCAGCTGGCAGCAGTGGCTCCTGTCCCCTGGGCTGGGCCTGGCTCCTCGCGCTGGGCGTTGCAATGTGATGCACAGTGCTGCATGGTGCTGTGACCCTGTGTGCTATGTCACAATGCCAGTCACTCAAATTTGGCCCGCTTACCCCTCTACCGTGACAGAAAGGCTCCTGTATAGCACTGCAACCCTGTGCCCTAGGTTGCAATGCCCAGAGTGAAGCCCTAGTCCCAACCCCATGGGTAGGGCCCTACCAAATTCACGGTCCATTTTGGTAAATTTCACGGTCATAGCATTTTAAAAATCTTGAATTTCATGGTTTCAGATATTTAAATCTTGATTTTCATGGTGTTGTAACACAGCAGAAATAGGTATTTAAAAATGGCAAAATATAAACATGTAAAGTCCTTACATCAGCCTTTCTCACGCTGGGGGTCCCCACCCAAACGGGGGGTTGCAAGGCTATTCTAGGGGGGTGCCGTATCACCACCCTTATTTCTGCTCTTATGCAGGTGGCAGCGCTGCTTTCGGAGACGGGCGCCTGCCCAGCAGCCGCTGCTCTACGGCCACCCAGCTCTGAAGGCAGAGCAAAAGTAAGAGTGGCAATAGCGTGTCCGCCCCACCCCACACAATAGGCTAGCGATCCCCTTTTGGATCGAGACCCCCAGTTTGAGAAATGCTATGTACTTTTGCATACTTTTACTCCATAGTACCCTACAATATAGAGTAAAAGTACACAAAAGACCAGTTTTCATGGGGGGAGACCAGATTTCAAGGTCTGTGATGAGTTTTTCACGGCCGTGAATTTGGTAGGGCCCTACCCATGGGGCTAGGTGAGGGCAGGGCAGGCTTTCTCTCCAGCCCCGCCCCACTCAGGGCCTCCCCTCTGCCCTGGGCTGAGATTAGAGTCACGATGCCAGAGCAGAGGGGGCAGCAGGCATGTTACCGTGGGAAATACACACGCGTAACAACGTGTGGAATTAGCCACCCAGTGGGTCTAACTGAAGGTGGCACCCCCAGTGACCCAGGGTTCAGTTCCCCACGCTGCCACAGACCTGCAGCAGATCCCCAAGTCTCTCTGTTCCCAGCTGTACCATGGGGATAACAGCACTGGCCTGCCTCGCCAGGGGTGCGAGGGTACATGCAGCAGAGACTCTGAAGTGCTCAGATGCTGCATTAAGGGGGTGGCTTTGAAGTACCCAAGCCTGACATGTCTCTCTTCCTTAGGGCTCCCCCAATCCCCACCTATAGTGACAGGAGGCCCTGGGTATGCAGAGCGGCGCACGTGCCCTTATCTGGCCCACAAAAGGTTAACGCTGAATCTCGCTGCTCCAGAGTGTGTGTAAACAGGAATAAATCTTCCCTGAACTGCCCATGTTACTTCCTCTTACCCAGCCCATCGCTTTCCCTGGCAGGACAGTTTCAGCAGAAGAAGAGCCTGGGTTAGGTTTCTAAAGGGGATGGATGCGGGGGTGGGGGGTGTTCTGTGGATACCACCTCTTAGCAATCCTGCTATTGACAACTTTTGGTTATTAGCATTTAGCAACATTTTGGGAACCGGTCCAGTCCCATTAACTTCAATGTTAATGGGAGTCAGATGATAGCACTGGCAGGATGCTAGGGAACAACTTTATTTATTTATTTATTTGTTGTCTTGCAGCCCTGTGGCCCCGAGTGGCCCTGCTTCCCATGGAAAGCCCTGGCTGCAGGCAGGATGGTGAGGCTGCAGCCAGGGAAGGCGGCATTGGGACATGCTGAGTCTGACTGCCCAAGATGAGGCAGAGGCTTTCCATGGGTGGGGGGAGCGCTGGGTGACTGCATGGTCCTTCTCCCTGCACTCTCCAGGCTGTGCCCTGCAGGGACCAGGAGCCTGGGCCTGGCATGTCCCAGTGCCCCCACTCCCTGTGGACAGCCCTGCTCACAGGCAGGTTTGCTGGGCTGCAGCCAGGGACAGAAGTGCCCTGTGGGGAGGGATAGCTCAGTGGTTTGAGCATTGGCCTGCTAAACCCAGGGTTGTGAGTTCAATCCTTGAGGGGGCCGTTTAGGGATCTGGAGCAAAAATTGGGGATTGGTCCTGCTTCAAGCAGGGGGTTGGACTAGATGACCTCCTGAGGTCCCTTCCAACCCTAACCTTCTATGAATCTATGAATCTATGGATGTCAGGGCAGCACATGGCCCAGAAAGCGCAGGGCAAGGTACCATGTAGCTCTGCAGGCCCCCAGCACCCCCGCTCCCTTTGGAAAGTCCTGGCATCCAGGCTGCCACCCCTTCCCTACTGCCCACAGCCCCGCCTCCCACTGCACAGCACCAGGGCCCCTGTGTGGGCAGCAGGGTCCTGGCAGTGGGGCCGCCTCACATCACTGTCTTCAGCGTGGGCCTTTTGTTTGTTGGCAACTTTCGGCTACTATCAACGTTTTGCTGTGAGCTGAGAAGTTGCTAATAACCAGCATCCATTGGGTCTGGGTGTGTGTCTATATCTATCTATCTATACTATGTGTGTTTGTGTTTATATCTACTGTGTGGGTGTATCTATATCTGTGGATGTGTTCTCTATCTATCTATCTATCTATTTATACTATGTGTGTGTGAATATATCTGTGTGTGTCTCTATCTATCTATCCTGTGTGTGTGTGGGTCTATACCTATTGTGATGGGTTCGGTCACAGAGACTCCCTTGGGACTGTCACCTGATGTGCTGAAGTTACCTCTGAGCCTGTTTTTCCTGCCAGCTTGGGACTCCAGAACCCTGCCTTGTTGAGCCAGACATGCTAGCCTGCTGCAACACAGACCCAGGGCTGGTCCACGCCCCCAAAGCTGCAGACTTTAAGTGAGAACAGCTCAGCAAGTTACTTGCCTCCAGCACCCAGACACCCAGTTCCCAATGGGATCCAAATCCCAAATAAATCCATTTTACTCTGTATAAAGCTTATACAGGGTACACTCATAAATTGTCCACCCACTATAACACTGATAGAGAGATATGCGCAGCTGTTTG